CAACCAGCCACCCCCCACCCCCTGCAACCAGCCCCCCCACTCACACTGCCCTACCCCTGCTTTTTTTTCCTTTCATTAGCGTATCCCCCACCTTAGTCTTGTGCCATCCTCTGAGAGTTACAGACAAATCAGAGGGGTGGGAGGGCTGCAAATTTGTAAAGTTGCAAACACTCACCTGCAGTCGGAGTACGCACGTACCAGCGATGGCAGTCAAGGCATCCGTTCAACGACGAGGCAACATGGCATCAAAAGAACACACTCACAACAACAATGAATTCGCAGTGCAGCATCCACACCAAAGAATGACTAACACAACAGAAAACCAGCCGATCAAATCCAATCTTTGTGGCAGCTCACGTAGATATTCGTACATTCAACATTGCGAGAACAAAAATAAGTTAAATAACAATGTGAAATTTGGAAGTTAAAAGCTTCATGTCAGAAATACGACCATTGTCAGAACTCTGCACTTGGAGCATCGGATACCTAAACTGATGAAATCATAGATCGAACAACTTCCCTCTACTCAGCCTCTACCTGATCTTCCTCCTTGTCATCCTCGAATTGGGCCCCTCCCTCACTTCCTTCTCCGGCTGTGCCTTCCATCCCACTGGTATGAGATGACGAGGGAGTCTCGTCCTCTTCCGGACTTTTTTCGGGGACATCCACGTCGTCATCGTCACTTACTACGATGAACTTCTTGGCCTTCCCTCTACCTGCGCTCTTTGTGGCAGCTTTCGCTGCCGCTCTGGCTTTGGCCGCCATGGCTTTGTCTGCAGCAGCTTTTGCTTCAGCTGCTGCAGCGATAGCCTTCTCTTCAGCCTTCTTCGCCTTGCATGCCCCCTGTTCTGCCAAAGTTGGACGGCCCCTCTTTGGTCGTGGCTGTTATTGCTGATCAGCCTTCCTCTTCCCACGCTGTGCGGGCGCATCATCATGCTCCACCGCGTGTTTGCCCTTATCTTTCCCTCTCCTCTTTGTTCGCGCCTCATCTCGCCCCTGCACCCAAGTGCCTGTCGGTCGCGCTTCCATTGCGAGAGCGTAACCCTCCTCCGTGTACAACTCTCCAAGCACGGGCAGCTGGCAACCAGATTTCCTGCGCAACTCTTGCTCACGGTGCTTCCCATGCTTCGTGCACTCGTGCCAATCACGCTGCGTTGTACCGACAAGTAGAGTGTCCTCTTCCTCAACCAGCTTGTCGTCAACTTCGTCATTCCGCAGGAAAGTCCGCCGCATCGAGATCTTGTCTCCCTCATCATCGCAGTCCACCTCCACAACCTCCTCACAATCGACATCTTTATGGACCCAATCCAACCACTGCACATACCACTCCTCCATCTCCTTGTCCACCGGGACGTCGTCCGCCCATGGGATGTGAGTATCATCCCCCTCGCCACACTGATTCTTCCTCAGCAACTGAACATTCCAACTAATGTACACCAGTTTCGCCATCCTCTGTGGCAACAACTTCGTCCGCCTCCGTCCATAGATGAGCTCATGCAAGCTCCAATTCCGCTCGCAAGTGGCAGAGGAGCTTGCTTGGCCAAGCAATCTGATTGCTTGTGGTGCGAGGAGGTCGTGCTTCGAGCCGAACGCCTCCCACCACAAAGTTGGCGGCTGGTCGCAGGCTTGTTCGCGAGCTTGCTCCGTCAAGAACCCTCCCAAAGCATTGACCTATTGATCAACCTGGGAGCTCACTTCCTGGCGCCGTTCTTGAGGCATCTAGGAGTACAACCAAATGTTGAACCCGGCACGAACCTCCCGATCTCGCTGTGCGTTGTGCATCCGATGCTCAGGGTCCAAGAAGGCTGCAGCACAATGTAGCCCGCTTGTCAAAAATGCCCAGCGGCCCATGAGGATGCGCTCCACCGCCTCGTGCTCCTCCACCGATAAGGATTCCAGGGCACGCAGATTCTGCACAACCTGATCCATCTTGAAGTAAATCTTCGAGATGGTTGCTCCTTGCCCATCCACCAAATGGAGCAGCTCCACCACCGGTTGCATGACATCGAGCGCCTTCTGCAAATTCCTCCAGAAGTCGCCCTTGTCAAGGACGATGGCTGTTACATCGTGGAATGCCACCAATTGGTCATTCCGCACCATCTTGTCCACCAACCCCTTGTCGCACACATAACGGTCAAGAACTTTCCGCAATCCCCTGAGCGACTGCAACATCTCGAAGTCCGTTGCAAATCTGGTCGCCGCCAGACGCTTCAGCTTTGTCTTCGGGGAGTAATGGTGGAACAAAGCACTTGCCTTGTCCACATTGGAGAAGAAATGACCGACCTTGTTGCCATCATCGACCACCTGCGCCATCCAAGGCATTTCCTTGTACATATCCTCCAGCATGAGGTCCAGCGCATGTGTCGTACAACCGACGTTGAAGATGGTCGGATAGGCGGACTCCACCATCTTCCCTGCCTTCATGCACACCCTTGCGTTGTCCATGACTACACCAACGACTGCATCCGCTCCAATTTCCTTGATGACGTCGTCCAACACCCGAAAATAAGTTGCTGAATCCTTCTCATTGCCCTCCATGTAGACGGACTTCCATAATACTGTACCGGCGGGCGAGGACACCATGACATTTAAATGTGGTTTGTTGAGGCGGTCCGACCAGCCGTCCATCTGCAGCATACACCCCGTCTTCTTCCATTTCACTATCATTGCACGGACCTCCGCCCCTAACCGCGCATACTCTGCGTCCAAGCGCTTTGTCCTTTGCTTGTCCCTTCGGCAAGGCATCCATGTAGGATGGGCCGTCCTCACGGCCTGAAGGAACTCAAGGAAGAAGACGTCCTCCACCAAGCTGAACAGCTGGTTGGTGCATATAAAAAACCTGTCGAGGAATCGACTTGTACGCTCATTCATCGTGACCACACTGTGTTGTTGGGCCCAGCACCTCCAGCCTCGATCTGCATCAACATGCGAGCAAGGCACTTCCCCTCCGGCATTCCAGCTTCCCTCCTCGCCCTCTCCTTCACTAACAAAGGGACATTTACGTTATCAAGGGTGCACCTCTCCAAGAAGTGATCACGGAGCCTCGTGGCAGTCCCGCAAGTCGCAGTAGTTGCACCTCCAGTACTTAGATCCCTTTCCCACATTCTTTAACCGCGTCCCCTCGATCGTGAAATGTTTCTTCAACTGCTCCTGGAGGTGCTTGACCGTCGATGCCTTCGACATCCCCTGCACGACATCAATGACAACCATGACGAAGTGGCAGACACAGCGATTTCAGCCATCTCATACACCCTCAATCTCTGTTGTGGTTATGACCCCCCTCTATCTGCCCTCTCGTACACCACCCATCTGTCCATTACCTAAAAAAAAACGAATTCCTGTGTGCGTAGAAGCAATTACGAACAAGATGGAATGACTGACGGCAAGAACGCGAGAAAAAAAAACAAAAAAAAACACGGGGTATATGGAGGAAGACAGATGGACGAAGATAGATGGAGGAGACATGTAGGAAGAGAGGTGGCGGAAGAGACATGGGGGAGGAAAGGTGTGTGTGTGTGTGTGTGTGTGAGAGAGAGAGAGAGAGATGAGAGATAGAGAGATGGAGAGGGAGAGAGATGGAGAGGGAGAGATGGTGGAGGACAGATGATGGAGGAGAGATGGTGGACGGAGGAAGAGAGGTGGGGAAGGAGAGATCTGTGTGTGTGTGTGTGTGTGTGTGTGTGTGTGTGTGTGTGTGTGTGTGTGTGTGTGTGTGTGTGT